CCCCAAAACCCCAAAACCCCAAAACCCCAAAACCCCGTGATGAGAATAATATTAATGTATAATTATAGAGAAATGCTAATTATATTAATTTTAAAATATGAATACTTTTAAAAACAACAACATCGTTGCAAATAGTGGTGCTTAATCTCAATAACAGAAACATAGATTTGTAATCTAAAAGATTTAAGCATAAAATTTTAATAGAAAGACACTTCAGATCAAAACTAAAGGAAAAAAGAGCCGAGCTAGCCAATCTCTAAAGCTGATCCAGAGAAGTAAAAGTTCTTACAAGTTTTGAGTAAAATCAACAGCGGAATGGAACAAATGACTGAGGTAATCATTCTATAAATATACCATTCATAGTAAAACGATGAACTCATGAATTAGATCTAAGAATAGATGGATAGAAACAAAGTACTTGAAGAGGAACACAAGTAATTCATTAATGATCATAATATATTTTAGACAAAATTTATTGCATATTGAGACTTTAAATATGATGACAAAATATCAATTAGTTTTTGTAAAGTTAGAAACCACAATGTACAAAATATTATCAACGATCGATGCTAGAAAGAAAATGCGAATAAAAAAGGCTTTCTTTGCTTTCAAGAATAACGCACTCAATGATAGGTTGGAAGAAACAAGACATAACAATAAGAAAAGATTGGTTTTGATTAGATTTGAAAATACTCTCACTAACTTCACAGATGCAGTTTAGAGATACACTACAAGAGCTTATTTATAAGAAGCATTTGCGACATTTAAGTTAAATTTTCAAGCAAAGGCATTAGAAGATTAGGTTAGATAGAAAAGCATTAAGAAAGTTAATGAAATACAGCAAGATTTGGTAAATACAATTAAGAAATTAGATGCTATCAATAATAAAAATGAGGAACTTGATTCTGAGATTACTGGAACTAAAAAGAAGTTAACAGAATAGTAAAAATATATAAAAGAGCTCGATGAAAGAGGTGTGCATTTGAACAACGAATACATTTAACTTCTTGAGAAATAAAATTCTGGTTCCCAAGAAAGGGTTAATGTCTAGGGATTAGAAGATAAAGTAATGACGCTAGAAGGTTAAATACAAGAAATAGAAGTGGAAAACAGACACTTAAAAGATCGATTAGATGGAACGAATTCACATGTAGGTTCATTCATCAGAGAAATGAGTACTTTCTTAGATACACATGAAATTCAAGGAGTTCTCAATATGGAAGTAGAGAGCGAGGAGGAGGATGAAGTTGACAGAATGATAGATGTAGAGTATGATGAGCATAGACCTCATGCAGGAACTGGAGGCTCATCCAAAATGAGAAGTAGGCCAAACTAATAAAATCCATAATAAACTAGTGGGCTACCAGGAAGAGCTTAGCTTATACAAAACTAATAAATGGCTTAAACTTAGTCAAGTCAATATCAATAATAGCAGTCACATTCGTAACAGTAGCAGAATTAACAAAGAAATCCAAGGCAGTAATAAAATATCTAGAATAGAATGATGGCATAACTCATGAATAACAATAATCCAGGGCTATAACAATAATAGCATTAGCAGTAGCAACAATTGCAGCAATAATAATAATAACTATAATAACATCAGGTAAATCAATAGTAGAGGACAAACGCCCATCCATAAAACTAATAGAAAGTTAATAGTAACTATAATAGCAACAGGTTAAATAGGTGAATAATGATAATGTTTAAGGAGCTTATTAGTAGTGTTTAATTGAAGTTATTAGCACAGTCATATGATTAAAAGTTTATATATTAAGTTTTCTTCAATAAATCTATCTATAATGTCTTATTTCAGACAAGCGGGGTTTTGGGGTTTTGGGGTTTTGGGGG